GTAAAAAAGTTACGTCTTTTTTGTGTATTTTTTTGTTGTTGTGTGGGGGGGGGGGGGGGGGTCTTAGCTATTTGAGCATTATATATCAAACAGTATATCTTAAATTGTCCTGTGTTATGATTGGTTGCTATAAACGTCAGTAAATTCCACTTTTTGATCCCTTGCACATTTGTACCTCTGTCCTTCACGTTTTATGCAAAATATATGGTTAGGTAATCAAACTATTATAATTACACTTACATTAATACTGTAGCTACATATAGTTTCTGTTTCTACTGATTTAACCATCTCTGTATTGAAATGTAGTGTTGCTAACTGGAAATGCAGAACTTCAGGACTCTTGGTTCAGAGATGATCCTTTTTATTAGACCAACTAAGAAATCGCAAAAAAAAATCTTTTTCTGCAAGCTTTTGGGCACATGCCCTTCCTTTGGCTTAGGGAAAATTCAAGATGGTAAAAAGTCCCCATAGGAAGAAAATAAACTTCATTTTTGCACAGAGGAAGCTGAAGGTGGAAATCTGTTCCTCTGGGTCCGTGAGAGTGTCTTTGTGAGTTGTTCTTTGATGTGCAGATAAGGCAGGATTTCCTTCCCTGGTGGTGTCAGATGGCAGAAAGGCAGGGAGGTGTAGAACTCTTTCTTGTTGTTCAGCAATGAAGTTTAAATCCAATTTAGTTACTTTTAGTTTAGTGAACTTAGTTACTTTTAGTTTACATTTAATAATTTTGCCAGTAGCTATTTCTTACGTATTTTCTTTTTAATCAGCAACATAACTTTCCTTAGGTGCAAACATTAAGTATATTCTGTAAGTACTGCTTACTGTTTATACTTCATAATATTACTGGACTCTGACACAAGTGGAATGTGTGTGGAGCATCTTATTCTATTATGTACCCAAGACCTGAAGAAAAAATGTGACTTACTGGACTATTTGAGAAATACCATGTGGTCATATTTTTAGATTCTGTGTAGGGGACAAGAGTTGCGTAGTATCACTTTAACAATGTGAACACTATCTAGCAGGCCTTCCTATCATCTGTTGCAGGAGCTAACAGAATCCTGACAGAGCAGTATTGCACATAGCTAGCTGAGTCATGTGTGTGTCCAGTTAATAAACAGTTATTTAGAAACTAACTGTGCCTATACGATTTCCCCACATTCATAATATTGTATAGAGAGCAAGAACACAACACTACATTATAATGAACATGTAAAGGTGGGTAGATTTAAAAATGTATATTAGGCCAAAACTTGCTATTTGCTGAATTTATTTTCCTGTAAATTTGTCTTTAAAAATAAAGATGAGGAATAAAGATTAAAGGGGGGGAGAGATTTTTTTTAAGTACCTTTTAGGTGGCACATTCCTATTCCACCCTGCCACAAAGCGGCTTAGGTGCCTAGGTTCATTATACACCGGAGATCTGTAGGCAGCTAGACTTTTATACATGTGCTTAGAAGCAAGCTAGAACAGCCATATAAATGTCTGCCTCCCCCTTAAGTTCTGTTGTGATCTAATTCCATCTAGGAAGCCTATAAACTCTGCAATTCCTGAGTCCTCAGGCAAAGGGAAAGAAATCAGACCAGGCAGCTGTTTCAAGACAAGATTGTGCATACAGCTCAATGAAGGACTCAGCCAACTTTTGCTCAGTAGCCTAGTTTTAGAGCACTTGGCCAAAAAGTGAGAGGGCATGGGTTTTAGGATCTACTCAGATCAAGAACATTACAACCTCCATCTGCTGCTTCCCAGGACAGTGTCCCAGTTACCACACTAAACCATAACTAAATTAGTCATCAGATAAACAGCACTGGGAGTGTGGGGCTGCAACTTAGTACTCTTTCCCTCCCAGGGAAAGTGCCCTTCTTACTGTGTTACAGTCTCCTTGCTTCTGTTCCCAGGACTTTTGCCTTCATTTCTATCTGGTCAACTAGCTTCAGCAGGCAGGTGGGAGGCTGTCAGCTCTGCCTAGCCCATGGTTTGGTGGTTAGGGCATGGTCCTGGGAGGTGAGAGATGTGAGCTCCAACCTCCTGAGGGTGAATGGATCCTCTAGCCCAAGTCTTCCACTTCCTGGTCAAGGTGCCTAACCATTATGCTGTTGGATAGAAGGTGAATAAGTCCTTATTCCCCTTCCCACCATCCTTATTCTTCTCTGCTGTGGTTTGCTTTACCTTTCTAGATGCAAGACACCCCTTGTTATCCTCAGGCAATCCCTTGGAAAATGCCAGCTCTTAATTTTACTTGTTTTATTTGACTGCAGAAAAAGAAAGCAAGTCTTTTGTTGCAAAGAACTCCAAAAGACCGCAACAGGTTCCAGAAGGTTTTGACAGTTTGGTTTCCTATTTAAAATGTCTAGGTTTATCTTGTGAATCACATGCAAGTGTTTGTGTACCTGATGTTGCTAGTATTGAGCAGCACATGACATCCTTAAAGGTATTTCTTGATACCCCCAACACTCTTGATACCTCAGCACTGGTTGAGAATCACTGCTTTACAGTAAAGTTAATTCTGCTGCCAGTTAGGCGTAATGGTTCAGGTAAACATCTCGCTTCTGAACAAAGTGAATCCTAACATGATGGCAGTGTATAATGTTACCCATTGAGCAATGGGAGATCCATGAAAATCCCCAGGGTGAAATAAGATTGCTTTCATGAGGAAAGATGTAGTTTTGGGGAAATTAACTGCTAAGTCTTACATGTGTAGTAGCATAAGTTTTGGACTATTTTGTGAAAGCCCCACCTAACTCTGTCATGTTGCAAAGTACTCAGTGACTGAGTTGAGTTAGCCTAAGATACTCATATCTCAACCCATGCACACTTCCATTACATTATTTGTTATGCAGCATACATGCGCACACCCTAATAAAAGCATAGATTTCCTTCATTGTTTAATTTGGTAAAGAAAATTCCACACATTGCAAGCATACTTGCAGTGTTTTCAGATGCAAAGATTAAAATACAAATTGGCGTAGCAATCCTCCAAATCTACAAACTGAAGAAACACAGACAATTCTGTGTGGAGAAAAGGAGATTAAAGCGGATATGATAGCATGAGCTAGAGTCTATGCTCTTAACTAAGTTGGGAGTTGCGGACAAAGAGGTTTCTTTAGAGGCTTAAAGGTGTCAAAGACGTAGCTGATCAATGTTCAGGAGGGAAAACTGCAGTTACAAGGTCAAAACAGCTGACAATCTAGGAACAGGGGCAATAAGATGTAAGGCAATGAGCCAGTTTAGGACTGGTGATTAAAAATCCACAGGACTATGTAGCCACCTCTTGCAGCTGTCTAGAGGTTTTCTTTTGCCAACATATGTCAAGCAGAAGGCATATAACTGCTAGTCGGGATAGCGGTATAAAATAATGACATTTTGTGAATCCGTGCATACCTAGACATAATAAAAATGTACTTTGACAGATGTAATTTATCTGTAATTACATATTAAATTCATTTACTAGTATATTTGCAAACTAGATTGAATATTTTGAGAGACTGCAACCAAGAGGTAGAAACAGACTGAAAATTCTTTGTGTGGATTAGTAAAGTTTTAAGCAGTTTATGGATAAGGGAGTTCATTTGCTTAAACTGTGTTGATATGTATTTGAATCTTTGTTTTAGTACAATTTTATGTTCTACATAGGATCATGTGGGCTCCCTCTGGTGGCTTGCATTTGTCATTGGAAGACTTCTAAAACAAATTTAAATTGTTCTTTTTCTTGATATACTGGTTCACTGTTTCAGTGGAAATTGTGCGTACCTTGAAGAGAGAATACTTGCCCAGTTTCCAAATTCTGTTTTAGATTTGTGGACTTTCTTATATACTAGTTCTTTAATATAAAACTTAAATAATTTTGTCAGGCAGTTGTCTTTTACTTATCTTTTACTCTTTCCAAATTTGGTTTAAAGAACACATGGAAGGATAAGTTTTTAACTTATAGTACTGTTTAAGGTACACGTGGAAATGCTGGGTTTTTTTTCTTCAAAGTAAAACAGATGGTCTGTAATAAATACATTCAGCATAAATAGGAGTAGTTGCACTTTCATTTTTTTTGTACATTGAAAACAGTTCTTTCACTTATTAAGGCAAATTACAAAAAAGATTATACATAACATTTCTGAAAAGGGGGTGGACTTAGAAAAATATTAGTCATCTCCTCTGTCTCTTCTAATATCAGATATGCTTCAGACCATAATTTGGTATGTAGATTGTTGGATAATTTTCTAAAAGTCAGATGATTTCCTGTTAGATTTATAAGCATCTTTTAATGCCATCAGTCGGATTCTATTGAGGTTGTATTTGAATTGTATTTACCATTTTATTTGGATAAATTTCATATCATTATCAGGGTGGCAGCTCCTTGGCTCTGAAATGTGGCATTACAGAAGAAGTCCAGTCACTTTTTTTTTCTCTACATATGTTAGACTATTAAGAAAAAGAAGGATATAGTTTATACCCTAGCAGCAGCAATGAATTGATAATATATGGTTCTACTTTCTTTATGAAGATAAATAATTGTGTTCACCCTCTTCCAACATGAGAAATTAATTCTTGGACGAACAGCAGTTTAATCAAGTCAAGTTCAAAAAATACGTACGTGACACTGGTTATGCAGAAAAATTCTTTGAAATTTTGCCAGGAGTTATGGTGTCCATTTTTAAGGGTTTCTGCCTCAG